TTTATTTAAAGCATGCTATAGAAAGTTCATTTATTTATTCATTCTTCAACACTTTATTGAATATAAACCATATTCTGGGTACACTGACATTTTCTCTCCCATCTGATTCTGGCTAGCTTCTTACTAATTGTGAGAACCTAGTTAACATCTTTGAGTCTTAGTTTGGGATGATGATAGATACATTAAAAGGAGAATTGTATGAGGGCTTTTAGCAGTGGCTACACTGTCATCTCCAGTTTGTAGAGAGTTCCCAGTTCTTTGTGAGCTTGAACATATAAAACAGATGACTTTTAAACTAAGTGAAGACCTTTATGCTTATCAATGGTCTTTCTGTTTTGTTCCATTTGAGCCAGTAATTATGGGGGCTTTTTGTTGTTACCTAGATAACTATGTCACTGAGATTGTAAAGAAGAAACTGCCAGATTCTTCCAAATATCATTTACAACACTTTACAGAGGGCATAGCCCAAATTAGACCTTCAACAAATATTGGAGGAATGGATTAATGTTTATTGTTTTAATATATTGGGATGATCTCAAATTCAAGGTCTCTTAAGCAAAATGTGATCTTAGCCTACTTTGATAAGCATAACACATGTTCTCATTTCTAAAGTGGTATGTTTATTTCCATCGTTTTAGAAATCTTACTCATTTTGCAAAATATATGGTGGGGAAAAAAGGCTATGAAATATGATCTTGGCAGAGCAGGGATTGGCCTAAATGATATATTGATTTTTTTCATTAAATTTTAGTAAAGCAGACAAAAGACATTCACTATGATTAACTACTCATAGAAAAATGAGAACTGAAAAGGTGAAAATGGGACATATTAAGAATTTAATGATTTGGAAGATATGTAATACTTGATTCCATTTCAGCTTAGAAAACTTCTATGCCTCTGTCTTACAATGCTTGTTGTGGAGATGTTCTTCTATGATATAGATCATATTGTATTTTTTTTATTCTTTTAGAGTTGATCACTTGGACAAGCAATTTATTTTTTGAAAATGAAGTAAAATCTATTTAAATCTTAATGAACATAAGGCTCAATCTTTACATTCTACCTGAGGGAGATATACACACATTTTAAAAATGAATCATTAAGAGGAATGTGTAAAACAGAAATAATCTTGGTTGATATATAAAAATAAATAGATTGATGATCACATTCTGTTGAATGAGCACATTCATAAACACTCTGGTGCTCAGATTCTCTCAATCTTTTTCTTGCAGGAGATGAATGTCAAACCAATCTTCCACAAATCTCACCTGAGGTTAGGTTTAAGCAGAATTTATTCTTTGTAAAGTGAACAGATTTTGATGGGTTGTAAAGAGCCTTAATTTCCTTTTTAGATTTCCAACAGAAATTGGGAGAAATAACACATTCTTCTCATAATTATATATATATCACTGTAGTTCCTAAATGGTATTTATTATATTTCCTTCTCGGGGGGATTTTTTTCTTCCCTAAATACACTCAAACAATAGGTTAAAAGCTAGGAACAATCGAAAAGCCCATTTGGTATAATTTCCTACAACATTTCCCTTTCCACATCTTTATCATCCGTGTTTAGCAATGATGATGGAAGAAAAGTGGAGCACAATTTCCTGTGGCTTCTTCATTACCTGGCTCACATTTGAACTAAGGGCAATCGTAATGTGTCTACACTGACCTCTTGAATGAAGTTCAGAGTGGACATAACTCGTTTAAAACAATTTTTTTTTTAAGTTTACAGTACTTTATTTCTTTCATTGTTCTAAAATACACACATTCCCCACAGTGTTTCCAGAATTTGAGGGTCTCTTTATATGTGACTTTTCCCACTCAAGGGCTCCGGGGAGTAGGAGCTCTGATGACCTCCTACATGTAATATATTCAGGGCAAATGTCAGAGGGCAATCTGGCCAATTCATCAAAGTACACAATGTGCATACCTTTTTACCCTGCAATTCCACCTATGGAAATTTATCTTACTGAAGCATAAGCATAAATGGCAAAGACATATCTATAAGGATGGTCACTGAAGCATTTCAATGGCAAAAATGGCAACCATGCCAACTCTAGCAGGAAGATTAAACAAGTGATGATGTTTCAAAACTATGGACTACTACGTAGGCATTTTTAAAGTCCAAGAAAGATAGGGAAAGGCAGTCTTCATAGAACATGAAGTAGAGAAAGTAACTTAATCAAAAATAGGCAGGATACAAATAAAAAATGCTCCCAGGGCTCACCCAGGTAACACCAAGGCAGATGTGACACAGGACTGCTATTGTCCTGCGTTCTGCTTGGCACAAGGAGAAGGCTGGCTGCACTGAGCAAAATGTCCTCCCAGTGCCCATCAACTGTTGCCATGCAGGTACCAGTGTGCTATTTTGTCAGATGTTTAGATTTTTCAAGAGAAGAGAACTAGATTCAGACATTAATGTATATTCTTGGGTGTGTGTTTAATGTTTTCATTTCATTTAAATGCTTTCAGATACAGTGTTAGCCAAGCAAAACATGTATGTCGGTAAATCTTGGCCAAGTCAGGATTCGTTACTCCTGATGTCTAGACATTGAAAAATGCAGAAAGTTACACATCTAATCATGACGCTGATAAGTTCTGCAGGGTAGGTTTGGAAATCAGATGACAAAATGGCCCTGTAATTTATACACTTCTATTTTGCTTGATCTTGTTTCGCTGCACATACATACATGGTATGTTTTCTGTGTTGATGCTTTTAAAAAATCCCATAAAGTCCCACGCTGTAAGGAGAAAAAGTAATTTGTGTATAGACACTATCTCTATCTCTGTGACTTAAGCAATTTACTCTAGCTTTCTAAAACTCAGTTTTTTCATTTGCATAAGGGGGATGAAAACTTTTGCCTTATATATTAGTAAGAATTATGTAAGATGATATTTACAAGTCTCTGTATGTAGTTCTTGTTTTGTGAATGTTCAAATCACCCATTATCTGACGATGCCAAGTAGCAAGTGAGGGATGAGAAGAGGCTATTTTAAATTAAGATTTTAAAAATATGTTTCTTCATTCAGCTGGCAACGAATACCAAAATGCCTGTCTACACTCAAGAAGGATTTGTCTACATTAAAGATTAAATATCTCCATAATTGTTTTCTTAACATCACTAGGGACTTGGGAAATAGTACTGATCTTTTTATTTGCTCTTTCAGTAAATCATTTCAATTATCATTTGCTCTTTAAGAAGTTACCCTAATTTAATACTGGGTAAAAATCAATATAGTATATATCATTCAAAATGCTTAAAACTGCAGCCATGGCCTTCATCAATTTTCTGGAGCTGAGAGAGGCTTTCCTTATTAAATAACCTGGTCCACTTAAACATTTTCACATTCAAGTGAGTTATGAAAAATAGAAAAAAAGAGTAAGGTTGGAAGCTTCTTAACATAAGGGGAATAACCTAATTTTGAACATAGACATTCTTTTCTCTGTGAAGGTAAAATGCAAATTAAGAAATTCATATAATTATTTTTGTAGTTAAAAATAACCTCTTAACACTACTTCCCACCTACTACTTTAACCCAGAAAAGTCTTTCTGTGATCATTTTCCCCACAATGACACTAATATTCATCTGAAGAGGGAGATAAATGACAACAAACCAAACAATGTGAGTATTGCTCTTTGCAAGAAACCCAGAACAAATTTTGAAAAACAAAGGACAAATTACATACACACACAGCCTCAAAAACAGAAACAAATACACAAAACAAAATGACTACCTGCAATTCATCAATCAGATGTTTTGAAAACATCCAGTGAAATTCTAAAGGTGGAAGTTTAAATATTATGTAACAAGAACTATCACTTTACCTGGACAACAGAATATGGACTTTTTCACACAATAAATATTACCTGTTAATTGCCACTTATTACGTTTTTGTGAAAGTTGTGAAATTGCAAAAACTTGTGATATAGTGAAGTTTCCTTGAAGATTCTTAGGAAACACCTCAGCTCTCCAGATAAGCCTCCTGCAGAAAAACTACATTGGGGTGTTGTCTTAGGGGCTCACAAGGTTCTTGGCTTCGGAGCCAGTGCCACCATTGCTAGGCAATTACTTATGCGTGTCATGTCTCCTGAGAGTTTCAACTCCCCCCTCCCGCCCTGCATCCCCAGCAACACCCCGCCCTGCCCCAGCCACCATAACCTTCAATCTTTCCATTAGAAAATGAGCAAGGCTTTGAAACCAGAGCATCAAGAGACTGCATTCCGAATCCACCTCTTACTGGGTACGTGACCTACAGAGGTGAGGACTTTACGCCTTCTGACATCGAGTTTCCTGATCTAGGAAACTGGCTCATAATTTCTGCCTTGTAAGGTTGTTTTAAGTATTAAAAGAAATACACGTATAAAGTCCTGCTGTATTGTAGCTACTCAATATACAGTATTATTTTAATCATTGTTGCTATAGTATATAAGAGTAGATTAAGCCATATTCAGTTCTTCTATTGGACAAAAATTGTCATTTTAAACACTATATTAATGCATTTTAAAGTGTCCGTTGCTAAGAATTTAGGGCCTAGTACAGCTAAAATATACATAGAGGCCAAGTGCAGTGGCTCATGCCTGTAAATCCCAACACTTTGGGAGGCCGAGGCCAGCAGATCACGAGGTCCAGAGATTGAGACCATCCTGGCTAACATGGTGAAATCCCGTCTCTACTAAAAATACAAAAATCAGCTGGGTGTGGTGGCGTGCATCTGTAGTCCCAGCTACTCAAGAGGCTGAGGCAGGAGAATTACTTGAACATAGGAAACAGAGGTTGCAATGAGCTGAGTTCGCGCCACTGAACTCCAGCCTGGTGACGGAGTGAGACTCCATCTCAAAAAAAAAAAAAAAAACAAAAAAAACAAAACAACTAACCACTAACAAGTGTCTAATCACTTTACACCAGACATAATTCTAACTGCTTTATGATATTAATTTATTTACTCATCCCAACAATCTTATATTGTGGCTTATATTATTATACCTATTTTACAGATGAAATAAAAATGAGACACCAAGAAGTTCATTTATTCATATGGTGGAAGAAAGAGCAAGAGTTCTACTTGCGTGAAACTTACATCATGTCTGGACAGAAAGACAACAAACACATGAGCAACAACAACAAAATACGTATATATAATGTTTGGAGGAGATTAGTTCATGGAGGAAAAAGAAAGCAGAAGGAGGATTCAGAGGGTGATGAAGGTGCCACAGCATCAAGGCTGGCCAGTGAATGCTGCCCTGCTACTAAGGCAAAACTTGAATAAAAGCTAGAATCCCGAGGAAACAAACTGAGCAGATGCTGTAATGAAGAGCACTGTTTGCAAAGGGAAGTGCACATGCAATGGCCTCAAGGGGGGAGTCTGTCTGTCTGCAGAAGAAGTTCATGTGGCTGGAGCAGGGTGAGTGAGAGTTTGTAGCAAAGACTGAGATCAGATGAGAAACAAAACAAAACAAGAAGCCCCATCAGGCAGAGTCTTAAATTCACTGAAAGATTAGGAATTTTGTTTTGAGTTAGATGATGAGCCATTGAAGGCTTTGGGACAAAATGGAGACTCAACCCAACTTTAAAATGATAGCAGGTTGTGTATTACATTGTAAGGATGGACACGTCAGTATCCATTTGCTAAAACCTATGGAATGTCAAGCACAAAGAGTGAACCCCAATCTAAACTATGGACTCTGGGATGATAATGATGTGTCAATGACTGTAACCAATGGACCACTCTGGCCTGAGATATTGATTGTAGGGGAGGTTGTACATGTGCAGACGGGGGACATATGAGAACTCTGTTCTTTCTCCTAAAATTTTCTATAAACCTAAAACTGCTTTAAATATAAAGTCTATTTAAAAGAAAAATAACTGGAAGTCTTGTGGACATTAAGCCATGGGGAGAAAAATAGAATCAGAAAGACGATTTAGGAGACTATGGTAATTATCTAGGTGAGAAATAATGTTGTCTTTCATAAGATAGAAGCTAAGAAGGTTTTAAGAAGTATTAGATTGTGGACTATTTTGAAAATAGAACTGATGGTATATATATATTTTTTTAATAGGGTGAATGAATTGCATAAGAGAAAGGAAGGTGTTAACAATGACTTCAGGGTGGTTGGCCTGAGAGTCTTAAAGACTTGAGATGCCATTTACCAGCAGAGGAGAGTTGAGGAGAAGATCAGTTTTAGGAGGTAGATGAAGAGTTTAGTTTTCAGCAAAAGTTTGAGACATGGCACACTTGAGAAGTTAAGGAAATTCCTGCGAGGTCACCTAGTTTTGTAAATAGCGAAGCTAAGACTAGGACCAGATAACATAAACAAAGAAGCTGACTCTCACTGCAGAGTTTATTATGCCTTAGCCAACTTTCAGCCACACTTAGTTTAAGTTTTTATATACAAACACAATAAATATTCAAGTGGCTGGAGGGAAAAGATGTCACGAGACCAAGCATTTTATGTTGGTCTCATTCACTGATCTTTCCCTAATACCTAACATAGAGTTTGTCATGTATTCACACAAATAAAAACATATTTAAAAATTATTTAATTCATACACTTTTAAAAAACCTGAAATAGAAATCTGTCAGACATGCAAAAGTTGAGCAAGGTACAGATATGGTAAATTTTATTTTATATTGGAGAATTTAGACAAGTACCTAATGGCATTTTTGCATGATTACCTCAGAAATATGAGAATATACTCCTTACTTGAGATAATTGAAACTTTAGTGAAGAACAACATAATGCAAACTTTTTTGTCAATAAGTGAAAATTCTGGGTGAGTTATGAAGGATTAATAATTTGTTAGAGAGAAAAGCAACAGTTTGTAAACGAAGAAAAATGTCTAAGATACAATTCTATACAGGAAACTATACAATAAACACTGAAACTGAGAAAAATGTTTTCCAACAAAGATAATGAAAAACTACTGTTTTATTGTGAATACAGGAAATACAGCTAGATAAATTGATAAAGTACTAGGAAAGGCGTAAAATGCCAATCAATAAACTCAAAATATTAATTGTCTAATGCCTACCTCCTGGTGCCAGACAGGTTGGCCTAGCTAGAAGGGGTTTCCCAAGCCAACTCCAGCTGTGTAGTATGTGAAACCCTAAACGGACTTTGCAGCTACCATACCACAGTCTGGCAAAAGTGACCTAAGTCTCTCTGGGCAGGCATAACTTCCCAAGATTCAATTGCTGTATCATGTGCCATGAGATTGATACCCAGAAAAATCACTACAGGAAACCATTGAGCTGCACATGGAAAGAGGACTCTAGCAAAGACCATTCTCCACATTCAGGCTTCTACAACAGGGCATCGTGTTGTGTGAAGGGGCCAGATTCAATTCACGGCACAGAGGAGAAATGGGCATAATTCAAAAACAGAATGTAACTGACAAATCATTATGAAAAAATTTTAATGTCGCTAATAATAAAAGGGAAACAAACTAGAATCTCACTCATCGTTCATTCGTATATTCTGCACATGATGTTATGCGTACATTCTGGGAATACCGCAATGAACAAAATCAACAGCTATCTCTACCATCGTAATGCCCATATTCTTATAGGAGATAATAAAAAAGCACAAATAAATAAAATGTTATTTGATGTTACATAGTATGAAATGCAACACAGAAAGGAAACAGGGCAGATGTGTGGGGAAGGGTCGTTACACCTGTGAATGGCTGGTGTAGCAGTTCTAAGTAGGATAAAAGGAGAAGGCTTCCAGGAGAAGATGACATATGGTCACAGACCTGAAATTGTCTTCTGTGGTAAAATGTGTGTGAAACAAACAATGGACTCCAAGCTTAGAATCTGACTGTGTTGGGGTATACACTGCATTGAATACTGTGTCATAATTTCCTCATTTGCACATCAGGGGTAACCCCTTCAGTTGCTGAGAATTTAAGAAATATTTCAATATTGTGTCACAGGCAGCAAGCAACAAGCAGGAAAGTTTAGTTTGTATTATTTTTTGTTGAAAAACTATTGCAGATTTTTTTGAAGGATAATGTTTAATGCTAATTAGCATAGAGCAATACCTTGGTAAAAATAGGACACAATTAATACAGTGAAGGGAAGATCTGGCTAGTTAGGATGTTTTCAGATCTATGCACCTGAAATTCCATCTTAACAATGAATAACTTTATAAATCCATCACAGGGACTCTGGAGTTAGAGTGGCCATCAGAGCTGGTTTATGTGGAGGTCAAGGTTGCACACAGGCCTTGGGTTCTCTCAACTGCTTCTCTTTTCCATCCTTAGCCTTGCTCTTTCTGAAGACCTGTAGCAAAAGGGTGACCTTGTATCCAGGAAAGACACTATTTATGCTCATCAATACAATGGCCACTAGATACAAGGCTATTTACATGCAAATTAACCAAAACTAAATAATCAAATTTCAATGTATATACTGCTGATAGGATAATAAAATTATAATTATTTTTTGTCTTATTTGTATTTCCTGCTTCTTTCTGATTTAAAAATGATATTTTTTGAGAAATAACCATTACAAAATACACCCCCACACAACACACACAATACACACAAACCTCATTAAAATGATATCTTCTCAGATAATATAATATGAAGATTTCTTCTTAATTAAAATGTGAAAAAGAATATTACATGTTGAATATGATTACAACAGAGAAAACTGTAGTCACAGAGTAAGATTGGAAAGAAATTTTAGATATTTCAACAATGAAACTTCGTTAGCAGTAACATTATTAGTGACAATTCTTCCTAGCTTTCCTCATTTTTAAAATGGATATTATTTCTATGCTGGAAAAAATTTTAAAAGTATTTAAAAAGAAACATGCGTATTTTAGGATTACTGCTTTTGACAGTTCTAGGTTCATACGCACCTGTTTCACAATTAGCCTGATGTCAATTCTTCTGGCATGAAAAATAGCAAACAAGGTCCTTACTTCCCTAAATATTGAACCTACAATGTAACTTTTTTTTGTTTCTTGCATATTGAAATGGTAGACCATTTGATAACTAAAGGCTTACTAGCTACAAAAGTTACATATAAATTTGAGGTTTTGAAACTGAGCTTTGTAGAAGGCTAGCGCTTACTGGAAAGTCCCTGTGGGTCCCTAGAAGGGGATCAGTCAGGCCAGCTGGAAAGGGGAGGAAAGGGCTTTGAACATCCAACTACCCACTTTCCCCTGAGCAGCTGGACTTTCCTCTGCTATCTTCTACATTTGATTGCTGTATAATTTTCTATTTAGAATAAAACTACATCTCGGTATATAGGAAGTCGCTGTTCTAAATGATGGAATAACTATCCAGCGATCAGATTTCTATCTTGCAGAATAACTGCTGAGAGGAAATGCGAGGGAATGCTGTGGTTCTCTCCATCTGGACTGGTATGCAGCCCGCTCCTCTGTTTGTGTACAAGCCAGACCTCCTCCTCTAGTTACTGGGTGCACTAGCGACTGTCACAAGGCAGTCTCCCTTGTAGCAGTCTACCTCCTCCCTCCCAGGAGCAGGTGTAGACCATTTCCTCACATTTTGATCTCTGTACCTCAAAATGTGGAAAAGGTCTACCCCTGCATCTGGGCTCTTTTTTAATGAACACATGCAGTGTTCAGCATTGCAAACATTGAGGGCCGCATAAAACAAAGACTGCAGTGAACAGGCACAGTGGTTCACACTGTAATCCCAGTGCTTTGGGAGGTCGACACAGGCAGATCACTTGAAGTCAGGAGTTCAAGACCAGCCTGGCCAATATGGCGAAACCTCGTCTCTACTAAAAATACAAAAATTACCCGGGCGTGGTGGCACACACCTGTATTTCCAGCTATTTGGGAAGCTGAGTCAAGAGAATCACCTGAACCTGATAGGCAGAGGTTACAATGAGTGGAGATCACATCACCACACTCCAGCCTGGGTGAAAGAGTGAGAGTCTGTCGCAAAAAACAAAACAAACAAAAAGACTAAGCATGCCTCTCACAATGACATCACTTACATTTTATTCAGAATAAAGGCAAAAGAATGTAGGCAGCATAAAATAAAGGGCTAGTATATATTAGTTAAGATGTTTTAAATAAATGAAACAGAAATCCAAACCTAACTAATAAGGAACTTTTTATAAATACTTAACAAGGAATCGAAGTTAGAGTAGCCATCGGGGCTGGTTGTTCAGAGGTTCAGTGATGCACCACGGATGTGGGGTTTTCTGCTGCTCCTTGTGCAATCCTGATTGTTGGTTTCTTCTGCCTGCTTGTAACAACAGTGACCTTACATCCATGCATGATGCTATCTGGAAATATGCTCTTCGGAATTATCATCACTAGCCATACATGGCTATTTACACTTATCCAGTGGCACTAGTCACATTTTAAAGCCAAACAACCACATGTAGTTAGTGGCCATCATATTAGACTGCACAGATATAGACAATTTACATATTTTCAGGGAGCTGTATTGGACAGCACTGCATTTTGGGAAAAAGGAAGATCATGTTCCCGTGGTTCTTTCTTAAGAGCCAGGACATTTCTCAGAAGCTTCTGAGAAGATCTGTCTTTATGGTTCTTTGACCATTAATGCTGGAGCAAAACCTTGACAAGACAACGGGATTATAGTAGGAACCACTAACTTACCACAGACATAGGGGTGGAGTTGATATCCCCCTTACGTAGCTCCAATGGTGCGGCTGTATTTCAGTGACATTTTATTCATATAAAATAACCAGGCAGTGGGCCAGATTTGACTCTCTGGGTATAGTTCGTGGACCCCTGTTTTAATTTGTGCGTCCAAAATCAATAGTGAGAGTCATTTGGTTTATGTTTTAAAGATAAATAAAAATTTTCTTCTCATGCTCCTATCTTGCTATGCATATTCAATCAGAATTCTAGGCTATGGTTTTCAATTTTAAAAGCTGGGTATATTTGAAACTCAAAGCATAAGCTTTTTAAATCATTCATGAGGTCTGGAAAGAGTATCCTGAAAGTTAATTTCTAATGATGAAAAAAAGAAGTAGTACATATGAGGAAGATTTGAAAAGATAAACACAGAATCTAAGTTATTTCTACCACTATACTTCTAAATAACTAATATTAAGAAGAGCTGTATAAAATTGCTATTCTTTAAAGAAATATTGGCAGTGAGCTACAATACCACCTATTACTGATATTTATATATCAACATTTTATATTATAGTTCCTATATGTGAGTACCTAGACCAACGATGACATCTAAGATGGGTCCGCTGATTCCTGACTATACCCACACTCATGCACTGGTGTGCCTATGATTTTACCACATCCAAGAACTTCAGAGCTGGACAATATTTCCAAATCCCTAAGAGAAATCAAGATTGTCTTGTAGAAAAACAAGCACTCTCCCCGTGTTCAGCTTCTCTAGCTCTTTTTTTTTTTTTTTTTTTTGGTTCGTTTTATAGGAATGCATACTTACAGAGGAACTTCCTAGGCATGAGGCAGCAAAAGCTTTCATTCACTTAGGGAGGCTGTTGAAAGGACTTTGCAGAGAGGCAGCAGCACAGTGGCGGGAGGCGGGAAGAGGGTGCATTCAGACATTCTCTGCAAATTTTGCAGCCAAAAGAATGATTTCTTTTTTAGAGTTTTCTAAATATACAAGTAAAAAAGACATGTGAAGCATGTATGCATCACATAACATTGCGAATCATGACATAATATAATATAATGTAGTCATCTTTTTTGTGGAGCTGAATGTGTATGCCATGTTGCTTTCCCAGAATATTTATAGATTTCCTGAGAGTGACTAATTGTTCTCCAAAATTATATTTTTAGTTGCCTTCTCTGTATCCACAGCTCTAAGAAACTGAAAAAATGGAAGCCTGTTGGCAGAAGTATCAATGAACTCCCATCTGTTGTTAGTGGTTTCATTACAAAAACGTGTGTATCTGCAGAAGAAATTTTTTAGAAAGAAGTCATTTCAGCTCCATGTCAATCGATAGTTTTACAAGTAACCTGTCATCGTTTATTTTATATGAGCTCATACCTTTC